TTATATACTCAAAAAGCCATAGTGGATGTTTGTTGATGTTCAGATCACAGATCGAATCCATAGCCTATTAACCTAAGCTCACCTCCACCTGGTTCCACCTCACCCAAGCAACTTGCAGCCCCCTTCCCAACAAGCACTGCCAGCACTCATCCTGCTCGTCTTCCTAGGTCCTGCATGCATTTTATTTTATGTCTTTGCTCAAGACCATTATGTGAAGATCTGTCTCTCACCTTTCTTCTATTTGAGTCTATATTTCTTTCCAGACCCCCTGCGCAACTTTCCTGACTCTACTCTCCATGACCCCAGAACTCATTTACTTTTCTTAATTTTCGGTGCTTGGATACATATGATAAAGGCAGAAATGATCAGACAGCAACAGAGGTGTCCTGACCCTTGAAGACAGGTATGGCATGACCAGAGAAGGTGTCAGAAGTTGCTATCACAAACAAATCACACAGGCTTCTCATTGCCTTGCAGAGTCTCTCTGGGACCCCCCTCTTCACTTTAGAATATCCAGATCTACAAATGATCTAATCTGCTTCCCCTGTATTTGCATTGGACTAATCTCATCTAATTCCAGGTTGATCTCCCACCCATTTCTGACAGGCTTTCCCATAAATTAGTAGTTTCATTGCATCCCCTGTGGAATTACTTCCTTCAGTCTGTACCCTTCCTCTCTGATTCCCCCCACTCGCCAAGGATCAGGTGGGCTCACCTGGAGAGCTGGCCAATGGTCAGAATCAGACTGGATATGGTATTTCACTCAAAGCTTCCAGGAGTAGAAAGATCCAGACTGTAAGGATTATCTAAGTTTTTAGAGAGGGCTTAATATCAAAAGTAAATGCCATCAGGTCCAAGAGTTGTACACAAAAATAGGAGGCAAAGCCAAAAGGTCTGTGGCATGGTAGCCAGTGAAATGGGAGGCTAGGCAAGTGGGTCTGGCTAGATTGTAAGCTCTGTGCAGCAGGGGGCCTGCCTGTCTCATTCATTACTGTATCCCAGCGCCTCAAAAATTCCTGGCACATTGTCAGCACTCGGTGTTTGTTGAATGAAAGGAGGTCTTGGATGACTGCTACAGTCTGGGCTGGCGTTTCTCTGAGGTTTCTGAGGTTCTGCTCTCTGAGGCTACGTAGTCTAGAGGCAGTTCATGGCCAGTGCGTTAGAAGGCATAGGGCTCTGCTCAGGGCAATGGAAGATTGGAGTTACGCCAGTACTGTCTCATCCTAGATTTGTCTGGGGTTTCTATGGCTCCATGCAGGCTTGTCTCATCTCACCACTTAGCTTGTCAGCCTCCTGTCTTTTTCTAGGACAGTGCTGCGAATGCAGCTGGCACTCAGAAAACACCAGTTAGTTCAGGTTGAATTGAGCTGGGCTTCCCTGGGTAACTCTTGAAGTCGGCTGTGAGTTATAAGGTTCCATTGTTTCCATTACTTTCTACGTTTGTTTCAAGAATATCCTTTCATTGAGGAAAAAAAAGAATACGAATTGGAGGTTTGCAGCAAGATCTGTAGCTTAATAATTATGACTGAATTATATACATCTTAGAATTTAGAACAAAACCATAGCCTTTTGAAGTTGGTTTCCATGACATGTTCCACCCCATTTCCTCTCTTAAAGGAACACAAGGGCGAATCCTACCAGCTTCTGAGGCAGCCAGTCATCATGTGATTTCACAATTACCCTCCAGATTGCCAAGATGAGATTTAGATTTTTCAGTTGTAATTCAGTGTTATTCTAAGCAAGTAAGTTTCACTTAGATACAAGCAGCCATTGATTTAACATGTTTTTTTAACATATAAAAATCAGACCGAAAATTATTCCAAACATTATCTTGTTACTCTCTTGACAGAGGTCCAGATTTTGCAAAGTGAGAAATAGCTAGTCTTATTATACCTGAGCCTGGAACTAAAACAGGGTTTCTCAACCTCAGCACTATTGACATTTTGGACCTGATAATTCCTCGTCCTGTCTTACGTTGTGGCATCCTCAGCCTCTGCATAACAGATGCTAGGAGCACCATCCCTTCCCCCATTTTGGCAACCAAAAATGTCCCCAGACACTGCACATGTCCCTGGGAGGGGGGCGGAGGCAAAATCACCCTGGTGAGAACCATTGATCTAAAACAGTCCTGAGGTCCAGTGTAATGGGGCCTTATTTTTAAGGAGGGCTTTTGATTCTCCAGAAATTTCCAAACTGTATCACCTTAGTATGACAGCAGATCAGGTAGCATTTTTTCTGCTTTTAAACAAATATATTTATTTGACTGTGCTCTTTCAACCTCTCTAATCCTAGTGCTATATTAGATTGTAGACTCTTTGAAGATAACAAATGTCCTTTTCTTTTTCTTGAATTTCTTCACAGAAATAAAAATGGTGTTTGAAATGATGGAACAATTTAGTATATGTCAACTAACCCCACAGAAAACTGAGCTAGAAGAAATTTATTTGTGCTTTCAACTAGCAGAATGGATACGCCATGACAGCATGATTCTTTTTTCTCTTTTGTTCACTGTTGTATTTCTAGCACCTAGAAGAGCACCTGGTACATAGGAAGTGCTCAGTAAACATTTGGTGATGAATTATGTCACTTCCCTTCTAAAAAAATGTTTAATGAGGTCCCTCCCATCTCTTAAGGTATAACATTTAGAATCCTTAGACTGGGTCTGAAGGCTCTCTTTATTCTGCAGTTTTCAATCTTCATCCCTGCTTCTCTGCTACACAATCCCACTCCTCTGACCCAAACTTACTTACTAAAATTTTCTCAAATCCCCACAAATATCTTCACCAATGCACAATGGCTCATTTTGTTCTCTTTAAAATGTTTTTTCAAGCTCTTAATAGTCAAATAAATACAATACATACTTCAAGGGTCAGCTTATTTCATCTCTCTTTGTAACGCTTCCTGACTCCACGAACTCATAGGCACCTTTCCATACTCAAAACTTAAGACTTCTTGGTCTGTATCTCTCCCTGAGCATTTTAATTCTATAAAACACTGCACCTTTCACCTTACTGTTTGGACTTATTTTCATATGTGCATGTCATCTCTCTCCAAGTACAAGGCAACCCTTTTGAAGGCAGAAACAAATTATCATCTTTTTTTGACACCATGGAGTCTATTAAATGATATCTACATAGTGAAGGAACATTATTCTCATTTATTCTTTTTCATTCATTTACTCAACTAATATTTTTGCATGCCTACTCTGTAGGCTAGGCATGCGTGAGGAAGCAAAATAAATATGGTCCCTGTCCTCATGAAGTGTTTAGACCATTTGGAGAAAACATGGCATCTAATGTATTGAGAACTAGATTTATAGTCAGAAGACTTTGGTGTGAATACTACTTTGCCACTTATTAGTCATGTGGTCATTTAAGTTCTCAGCATCTCAGTGTCCCCATCTGGAAAATGGAAATGGTAATGCTTACTCTGTCCACCTCTCATAATAAAGAATATCAAACCACATTGAATTTTAGGTGCAAACGTCTTCTAAGTGATAGGATGTGGTTGTTTTAATTTGTCCACAAATTCTTTGACACTTTTTCCTTCAAGGAGTGGAGGCCAATTCTCTGTCTCTTGGGTGTAAGCTGGATTTAGTGACTTGCTTTTAATAGATAGAATATAGCAAAAGTAATGGTGTGCAATTTTGCAGACTAGGTCATAAAAGGGGAGGGTGGTTTTGTCTTGGTGACTCTATTCTTTGAATTACTTGGTCTGGGGGAAGACAGCTGCCATATTGTGAGGCTGAGACTTCCTGCCAACGTGTTCATGCTTGGAAACGGAGCCCTCACTCAGCTCCAGTCAAGCCTTCAGATGACAGGAGCTCCAACCAACAGCTTGACTACAACCTCATGAAAGAACCTGAGCCAACCACTCAGCTAAGCTGCTCCTGTCTCGTGTGAAACCACGTGAGACAACATATGTGTTATAAGTAGTTAACTTTTGTTTGGGTAATTTGTTATACAGCAATGGATAGCTAATACATAGAGTACTAAAGAGACTTAAGGTATTAATGTTGAATATGCTAATATTTGTTGAATGAAGAATACCATAATTTACTATAGTTTATTGCTGAATGATGAGTTAAAAGTGGAAGAAAAAGAAGCATAAAAAAAGAAAATTACAAAGCCTTAAGAACTAGGAAACAATCAGATGGATGTAAAACTTCTGTTGGGTGATTTGCAGGCATTTCTCATCCTGCCACATGCTTCATTTTCTGAGAAATATCAACCTGTGACAGTGAGTTCAGGCTATATGCTAAAGGCTACAGGCTATATTGTTCATTCCTATTGACTGCTTTGTCTTATTCCATTTTCAGTTCTCATTTTGAGCTAAAATTGATAGTTTAATTAAATAAGAAATAAAAAGCATACTTCTACTCTATGTAGAGCATCCTTTTCTGTGTAAGAGAAAGTCACCTTGGTCCTTTGTTAAACAAAAAGGCCATAGGTATGGAAATTTATGATTTGTTTGCATCAATGCCAACTTCTGAAAGTCACTGCTATCCCTTTGCCACAGTAACACTGACCCAGCCTGAACTCCATTATTAATAATGCTACTAGGAGGCTGAATTCAAGTCCACACCAGTCAACTTTGTCAAAATTGATATGAACCAGAACAAATGTAAATTTAAAACTATCTACCCACCTCTGGCCCACAGGATCCCCATTTACAACCAATTTCTTAAACACCCTACTGAGAACATAGTTGTGGAGGAACACTGTCAATTTATTAACTTATTTAATAATAAATACAGAACTTAAATTTCTCATTGCAGGTTTATTGACCCTGATTTTGCCAGGTCTTCAAGTGAAGGACTTTGGAAACTGTGCTAATTAATCTAATCCATGACAATAGTACATAATATATTTACCTGAAATGCCATAGGCAAGAACAGGGCATGAATCATACAAATTTTCTGAAAATTTTTTCTTTATCAACCTACTTAGTTAAAGGATTAATAGCTCATGGGAAGTAAAACAGTATGAAAACATCCTTACTTGTAGGAGATATGCTGTTGGCTGGAGAAGGCTGGATGCCACGGGTAGATTCTGTAGCATCAAGCAGAGAATCTGTTGGAGGGTTCACTGAGCCTGGAAGGATTAAATAGACATGAGTAATGAACAAAATACTGTGATTGGAAGATAAAGTATTAAATTAGTTCCCCCAAAACCTTTACTTATTCATCTAACAAATTATTATTGATTAAAAACCATCATTATTGCCCTGCTATGGGCAAGGCAGTGGAATTTAATGGTGGATGACAAAGACATGGAGCTTTCTTTAAAGAGCACACAGCCTAGAAAATAGACAGGTAGCCAGGCACTGTGTTTAGTGCTGTGACAGCAGAAGTGCAGGGTGCCAGAGAATGCAAAGGAGGGGCACCAACCAGCATTGAGAGGTCAGGGAAAGCTTCCTGGAGAAAGAGACGTTTAACCAAAACCTGGTAAAACAATTACTGCAGCTAATGTTTTGAGGTATTTGAAAAGTAACCATACAGTTTACATATCCATAAGCCCACAATTTTTTTTTATTACTAAGAGTAGAAACAATGATACAGCTCTCCAATGGGACACAACATCAATAAACCTAAGACTGATGGTATTATTGTGCTCTTTCTAAAATTTCTATTTTTTTCATAAAACTTCTATTTGGCTATAGCTTTTCTCTCTCTGTGTGTGTGGGGTGTCTGGGATGAAAGAGAGGCTGGAATACGTTGTTTTACTTATCACATTATACATTCACGTCATTTCCTTAATAAGTCTCCGTTATTGTACTGTAAAATAATCCTATTAGCATTTTAAAACAACTTAAAAATGTAAGAAGGACCTATTGACTTTAGGAATATGTGGATTAAATATAATTAAATGATTTCCAGGCTAGGGGATTTTGTGATTTTTCTAGATACCATGGCATTTCTAGATACCATGATGAGCTGTATCAGTTATTTGGACATTTAATTAGAAATTATACTATTGTTCCTATTCTTTAATTTACTTTAAGGAATAAGTATATACAATTTAAGCTATGTCACTTGATAGCACATAGCACATTGGAAGGAATTTGTTTTTGTGATCTAAATGCATCTATGTTTTATTCTCATTGGTAGTTTGTTACTGCTGTTGGATATAAGTAGTACTCACAGCTGGCTGTGACTTGCTATCATAAATGATCCCTTGCTATTAATCTCTGAGGAGGTTGGGGGATAGTTATATGGAGAGTATGTGAATAGGTCAGCAGAATGACTATTCTCTTCCCCTTATGCCATCTGGGACAAGTTTGAACTCTTCAGCATGACACACAAATCTGATCATGATTTAATCCCGCATTACACTCCTATATTCATTTCCTGATGCTGACTATTATCTTTTACATCTCTTTAAAATCACACCCTCAGAACTTCCCTGGTGGCGCAGTGGTTATGAATCCGCCTGCCAATGCAGGGGACATGGGTTCGAGCCCTGGGCCGGGAAGATCCCACATGTCATGGAGCAGCTAAGCCCATGCACCACAACTACTGAGCCTGTGCTCTAGAGCCCACGAGCCACAACTACTGAGCCTGCATGCCACAACTGCTGAAGCCCGTGCGCCTAGAGCCCGTGCTGTGCAACAAGAGAAGCCACTGCAATGAGAAGTCTGTGCACCACAATGAAGAGTAGCCCCCCTGCTCACTGCAACTAGAAAAAGCCCGCACACAGCAACAAAGACCCAACGCAGCCAAAAATAAATAAATACATTTAAAAAATAATACACCCTCAATCCAACAGGTAATATTTCAATCCAATTTACCAAACACAATGTTCTCCATGACTTCTTGATGTTTGTGCTTACTGTTTCCTAATACTTTCCCATCCCAAACTTCCTACTATGTACCTCTCAGACTTGAAGAATCCTAGGGATCTTTGTGATGCACTCATAGCTCTTAATGTTTGCCCTAGCAAAGGCCTCATTACTTCATCACTATACCTCTCAAGAGAAGTAATTGTTTTGTTTCTCACTGTATTTCCGGTTCCTGGCAAATCCAAGTGGATGAATTGAATGTATGCAGATTTCTTCTTAACACTCAAAGAACAAAGATCAACTTTAAGTACATATGTGACTGCTGGTGCATCATAAGCATCATCTTCCAAAGTAGTAACCTTAATGAGATGGAATGAGCCTGGAAAAATAACGCCTAGGTGTTTTTCTCTGCAGATTGATTAGAATAGAGGTTGGCAGACTATGGCTAGGTGAAATCCCACTCACTGCCTATGTTTGTAAGTAAAGTTTTATTGAAACACATCCATGCCCATTTGTTTATGTACTGTCTACGGCTGCTTTTGTACTACAATGGCAGAGCTGAATAATTGTGGTAGAGACCATATGGTCCACAAAGCATAAAATACTCACTATCTGGCAGATTAAAATCAGAAAATGTTTGCCAACTCCTAGAACAGAAGTTGTTGTTAGGTTATGCTCAATCCTAGATTTCCAAAACGGGAAAGAAGCATTTAGTTTTCATTTGTTGAATATTTCTACTTTAAGATATTATTTTGCCATGTTTCATCACCAAATATCTTTGTAAACTGAGGGGTTCTTGGTACATACAACCTCAGAGTGCATTAGGATGTTATTATTGCAAGATTTGCACTTTGAGATGAATCCTTTGCTCTGTGACAAAAGTGATGCACAGCTTCACTGAGGCCATAAAGAGTCCTTTTAGTTTCAGACTGGCCTATAAAGTAGAAACTCTGTCTTGGTCAAAACAAAACTAAGGGGGTATAAAAAAAGAGTGACTAAAACCTAACAGGGAAAAATTATTTCCCAAAACTCAAATGCAGAATTTAGCAGAAGCATGTCAGCCAGTTTTCAGACCATTACATTTACCATAATGTTGTCAGGGGCTGGGCTACTGAGTACTCCATCCATTCACAAGTGTGTCCATTCTGCACAGGCCTTGGCAGGGCTCTCAGGACCACCTTCATGGGCAGCAGTGGCCACGTGTCTGTCCCACAAGGGCAGCTGGGTCAATTCTAGAGCTCCTTCAGAGCTTGAATCAGCCATTAGCTGGTCCACCCAGAAATGAACTGAACCCCACGGTTTGCTAGGTCCTTGCTTCTCAAAATGTGGTCCATAGCATCTCTTAGGATCTTGTTAGAAATGCAGGATCTCAGGCCCTGCCCCTCTCAACCCCTCAACTTACTGAATCAGAATCTTCTTTTTAACAAGAACTTTAGGTGATCTGTATGTAAAGTCCTCTATTGATACTCTCAGTATTCCCGGGATCAGTCACGGGTATGAGGGAAATCATAAACCCAGAAGTATTTTTCTGGCATACGTCACCTTAATATTCAGTGGTCCTCTCATCCCACTATCAAACTATCCCTTTTTAATCCTCTCTCCACATCCCAAAACACACATACACACTCTCACACACACACTGAACCACTCATCAACCCTTATCTCTCTTTGTATCCCAAAGGTCTTGATCTCGACAGTTACAGTTGGAAATCTATTTAATCAACAAGACAGGCAGAATATTACCCACCCCAGGAGGTATCTGCACTCAACTCTTTTTTTCTTTTTATAAATTTATTTTATTTTTGGCTGCGTTGGGTCTTCGTTGCTGAGCCCGGGCTTCCTCTAGTTGCGGCGAGCGGGGGCTACTCTTCTTTGTGGTGCGCAGGCTTCTCATTGTGGTGGCTTCTCTTGTTGCGGAGCACGGGCTCTAGGTGCGTGGGCTCCAGAGCGCAGGCTCAGTAGTTGTGGCGCATGGGCTTAGTTGCTCCGCAGCATGTGGGATCTTCCCGGACCAGGGCTCAAACCCATGTCTCCTGCATTGGCAGGTGGATTCTTAACCACTGAGCCACCAGGAAGCCCCTGCACTCAACTCTTGAACTGGAAAAAAACAAACCATTCCCTCTACCCACCAAAAACCAAAACAATGCTTTGTACATGCCAAAACATTGACTCCTCCATGCTACAGTATTAGACATTCTGACAGACTAGGTCGGCATGATAGAATATTTCTAGAAAGAGCTTTTTTTAAAGTCACTATTGAATCATGACAATTCTTCAGGACCTGGTACTCGAATAGCTGCCTGACGAGCCACCTTCACCTTGACCCCTTCCCCTTTCTGAGTTTTCTAGAATAAGAATCACTGAGCACTTGAATGTCCCGAGAGACAGGGGGGTAGGTAGGGAGAGAAGCACCTCAGAGGGCTGTTACCTTGCAGCCTTCCAACATTGTTACTCTTTTCTGGGAACAAAAGAGAGCACAAAGTCCTCCCCTTCTCTCCCTAAATCTCCTTTTTGTTCTGTAATAGTCTTAGAATTTCTCTACTTTAGCACGAAGAGACAGAGTTTTCTCCTGCATTTTCATGTCAATATCTGTCCCACAAGGCAATGACTCTTGCACAAGGCATCAGAACTTTACTCCAGAGTTTATAAAGCATCCAGCAGTACTACTGCAGGCAGAAAGCATGTTTGGAAGTAAATGTTTAAGAACTTACAACAAATAGGAAAATAGGACATGGCAGTGATATTGCTTTGCAGAGCCTCAACTATATCTTCTAAACCATTCAAAAGATAAATGTCAGAATATGAGCAGAATATAAGCTATAATTTTGGGAAACTGAACTGTTTAAGATTTACTGTCTTTAATATTTGATCGTTTAGGATAAAGACTCATGTGACAATTTAAAATTGTCTAAAATTATACTAGATCAGGGCTGGCCTGTAAAATTGAAATTATGGTGTGCTCTGAGTATCAGAATCAGTGCTCTTCCTTCTTACCTTAAAAAATATTCACTACTTTCTGATCTTAAAACAAAACACAGTTCAAGAGAATGAGAAGGAAAGCCTGGAAGAAAATGTTTGCAAAAGATATATCTGATAAAGAACTGCTATCAAAATATACACAGAATTCTTAAAACTTAACAATAAGGAAACAACCAACCTGATTTAAAAATGGGCCAGATGGACTTCCCTCGTGGCGCAGTGGTTAAGAATCCGCCTGCCAATGCAGGGGACACAGGTTTGAGCCCTGGTCCGGGAAGATCCCACACGCCGCAGAGCAACTAAGCCCGTGCACCACAACTACTGAGCCTGCGCTCTAGAGCCCCCAGGAGCCACAGTTACTGAGCCCGTGTGCCACAATTACTGAAGCCCGCACACCTAGAGACCGTGCTCCGCAACAAGAGAAGCCACCGCAATGAGAAGCCTGCACGCTGCAACGAAGAGTAGCCCCCACATGCTGCAACGAAGAGCAGCCCCCGCACACCGCAACTTAGAGAAAGCCTGTGCACAGCAACGAAGACCCAACACAGCCAAAAATAAATAAATTTTTTAAAAAGTTAAAAAAAAATAAAAATGGGCCAGAGACAGATATCTCACCAAAGAAAATATACAGTTGGCAAATAAGCATATAAAAACATGCTCCACATAATATGTCATCAGAGAACACAAACTGAAACAACAATGAAATACTGCTACACCTATTAGAATGGCTGAAATCCAGAATATTGACAGTACAAAATGCTGGCAAGGATATGGAGGAATAGGAACTCTCATTCACTGCTGGTGGGAATTCAAAATGGTACAGCCACTTTGGAAAACAGTTTCTTGGTTTCTTATAAATCTAAACATACACTTACCATACAATCTAGCAATTGTGCTCCTTTGTATTTACTCAAAGGAGTGGAAAATGCATGCCCCACAAAAACCTGCATATGAATGTTTATAGAAGCTTTATTTTTAATTGGCAAAACTTGGAAGCAAACAAGATGTCCTTCTGTAGATGAATGGATACATAAACTGTGGTATATGCATTCAGTGGAATATTATTCAGTGCTGAAAAATAAATCTATCAAGCCATGAAAAGACACGGAGGAACCTTAAATGCATATTACTAAGTGAAAGAAGTCAATTTTAGGACAGTGAAATTTTAGGGCTGTATGACCTAACCTAACCATAATGATGAGTACATCATTTGCCTAAATCTGTAGAATGTACAACACCAAGAGGAAACTCTAAAGTAAACTAAGGACTTTGGGTGATTGCTATGTGTCAGTGTAGCTTCATCAGTGGTGACAAATTCACCATTCTGGTGAGTGATGTTGATAATGAGGGAAAGGATGCATGTGTGGGGAGAGGGTATATGAGAAATCTCTGTACCTTCCTCTTAATTCTGCCGTGAATCTAAAACTGCTCTAAAAAATAAAGTCTTTAAACAATAACAAAAGAAACAAGAACCAGTCTTAACATCATAAAATACTGTTTTTTCAAACGTGGCTCTGTCTATGATGGGAGTAGGATTCTCCTTAGGAATTTGAGGTTAACTGTTTTTTAGCTCATGTCCTTAGATTCTGCCAAAGCTACTGGTAAATCTATGTGAGAACCAGTTACCTTTACACTGTTCCAAGACTGCAGCCCTAACCTTGTACAGTCTTCTGGAAAGGAGGTGCACTTATTTCTGAGGGAATTAGGCTAAGTTGAGTATGGATGTTTCATGACCATTTCTGAATGATGAACTCAAAATTCACAGAATGATGTGAACGGGCGCGGTTGCAGGCTTGCAGGCATGATGCTAGTGTCCTCATGTCTGAATGGCACCTGTTTCTGCATAACAGGGATGGGTTTACACAGCGACATACCCCATCCAAAGCTCGCAGGAACCAAGTAACAGCATTGGTAACAGGGCTGGGAAGGACCCAATATGCAGACTGTAGCCTTGAAACAAAGAAACTCTTT